CCCCCACAGTTCCTTCTCCAGCCATATAAAAGTTTTATCAGAAAGCAGGCAGAGTTATTCACTCCATTAGATATCTCCAAGAGCTTCAGGTCTCAGCAGACCTCAGAGACCCACAAGTTGATAGCACTGTTTGTGAGGGGCAACTCCCCCAGTCTGCACCCCCAGCACACTAAGGGGGTAAATCTGACCTGTCATCTTCCCTATTCCTTCACCTCCCTGTTGTCCAAGCCAGCCAGAAAGGTACAGGAGATAAAACACACCATGACTTCTCCAAAGGAGGCCAGACTGCCTGTCTAAATGAGGCAAAAACTCAGAGCTGGTCCTATCTTGGAATGAAGCATCCTTGTGGTAAACTAGACACAGCCAAGATGAGTCTCTCCATTTATTCTTCAGAGTTGAGAAGAATTTAGTCTTCTTCTTCAGGTCACCCTGTTCCTCCTGACCATGTCTGGAGAAGGCAGTGGCATGAAGAAAAGATAAGCCCAAAGGGAAGTTCATTAAACTGAAGGTGCTCAGGGAGATCTAGATGCACATCTGAAGAGTTCTGTTAAATTCACCTGATGCCTCTTCCTTGGTACCTTATAAGTAGATTCCAGTGGCAAATATAACCTTGAGCATTCAGGTTAATCTATTTAAACAGACATTAAAGGGAAAATGTTGAGTGAATACATAAAGTCTGAGATCCCAAACAGTTCCTCATTCTTTCCCCTCTCCTTTCATCACCTTGAATGTTGTAAGAACTAATGATTTAATTTTATTAAGAGCTTTGAAGGTGAGGAGTGTTGGGTAATTACTAAATATGTTTCTTCCCTGTGCTAATTTCCAGCTCCTTTTAACATCACTCTGTCCTCGTATGACCCCAGCCAGGTGCAGCTCCATCATTCCACTCAATTCTGTGGCTTATCTGCTCCTAAAAAGCATTATTTTGAAATGCCCAAAGCTTACCAATTTTGAGAGTCTTCTTGCCACTGCAAGACTCACAGATGGGGACTCAACAAGCCAAGCTTGCCTGTCTCCCTGCCCCTCCTCACTCCCACCACTGATTTCCATGCTCATGTGGAAGCCATGTGATTTTTAAGCAGATCCAGATGAGAGTAAAGCCAGTAGAGGATAGTTGAGGGGAGGGAGAGAGAAGAATAAGAGACAGTTGTACACCAGCCCAGCAAAATTCCTACAGCAGGTGCTTCCCACCTGGCCGTGCAGCTTCTGTCATGCCCAGTGAGGATCTAGCAGCTCCAGCTCTGAGGGACACAGCCATGGTGGGGTAACATCACCCTGCCTGATGTCTGCTTCATCTTCCTGCTGGAAATCACCTCCCAGAGCACAGGAGGCTGGGGGGTTAAGGGCAGATTGGGGGAATAAGTCTCCAAAGGTACAAGGCTGGGAGCCAAGAGGGTCACAGATACACCCCTGAATATGTCTGAGCTAATTCACCCATGAGCCTTCTGCCAAGAAGAGGAGCAAGGAAAGAAACTCTAGGAGGAAAAGGCAAGAAATTCATCTGAGATTCTAGCCTGTACTACACACATCTGCTAAGAAATCTTGCCCTGTGGTGCCACTATAGGTCATATGCCAGGAAACCCATGTACCAAATAAATACAGCAACACTCTTCACTGGAGCAGCTTCTCCTGGTTGGAGATGCCCCTGCTTAGTGCAGGGAGTTGGACTAGATGGCCTTTGGAGGCCCCTTCCAACCCAAATATTCTGTGATTCTACTTGGGTAAGGGTGAAATGGGAAGTAGGATGGATGGGCTCAGCTGGCACTATGCCCCATCGGTGGCCAGATGCCACCTACATCCCAAATTTCCCTCTCACAAAGCCAATCTTCAGCCAGAGCTGCACATCCAGTGCTAAACACAGTCAAGGGCTTGGTGTTAGCCACAGAATTGAGTCCAAACAACAGTCTTAAGATCTTCCAGTGCATCAATTCATTACAAAAGACAAAGAGCTGCCTCTTTCTCAGAGCAGCTGCCTGAGATTGATCAAGAAACTCCAGTCAACATCCAGCTCCCAGGCATCTTAGAATCATAGAATCCTTTAGGTTGGAAGAGACCTTTAAGCTTCATGCTCACTGTAAATATATTACAGCCCAAGCCCTTCTCACCAGCTACAGAAGACACATAAAAAACCACTCTTCTGGCCTCCAGGTAAACAGATTTTCACTGATAAACCTCAAGGTGCTTGCAAAATTTCCAGCACCATTTGAAGTGGGGGGGGTGGGTAACGCATCAAAGCTGAACTGGGAAAGCAAAACTCTGCAACCAGTGGAAGAGTTTCTAGCTGTAATTCTGGAAGATGGAGCAGATTGAAGGGAGTGGGTGGAGGGAAGTCTGGGAACAGGCAGTACTGGGTGCTACGAAACCTTGCAGGGAAGTGGAAGGCTGAAGGGCAGCCCCACGTATTTTAGAGATTTAATGGTAAATGTTATTGCTCTGCACATGTGAAAGACATAACATGGATTTTTTTTCCCCCCCTCCCCAGTCTCACCAGCTCACTTCAGCTTGAGGCAAACAAGGAAGAATAAGTCTTAAAGCTCCAGAAGAGGCACACAGTGACTCAGAGTTGTGCAGCTGAGATGAAACACAAAAATGGCCATTGCCTTGAGCTGCTCCCTACCTCAGCTCATAGCATGCAGCTGAATTTACAGGCTTCTCCACCTCTCAGGTGGTTAAAACCCCACTATTTCCTTTCATTTCCATTCAGCAGCAACCTTTCTGCAACTGACTGCAGCAGGAGGCTCCCCACCTATGCCACAACACCCAAAATGTTTGGGTTTCAGAGTCAAAGCCTGAATTTCCACAGGGGAGACAGTCAGAATGTTGATTTGGGGTTCTTTTGCCAACAGAAAAGTTTCCATTTCTCAAACAACACAAAATCCAAGTGATCCAATGGCCAAATTGTGCTGGAATGTCTCATGGGAGTGCTTCCACACTCTCTTCTTCTTTGGAGACCAGACCCCACTTCTCTGGGTACACCAGAGCCCAGTGCAGAAGCCCCACGGCTACAACACACCATGAGATACATCCTCTGGCAAAAGATCTCAATCCACAGGGGAAAAAAAACCCCAAAGAAGCACGAGACATCCCACATAAACCAAGCCTGAGGTCAGGTTCACTGTAAGGAGCCATTGCTTGCCACAGAAGCTTGGTTCATGAACATCCCCTGTCCAGCCAAACAGTTACTGATGAGAAATTTTGAACCAAAAATTCCACTTCTAGCCCTAATATCACGATTTGGTGACCAGATTTGAGATGATGATTTAATTTGTTGACATAGCCTAGCCTCCTTGACAAGAGAAGATCACTGTATGCATTGCAGGGCTGGTTTGGTCCATGTTTTTGTCCATATTTTTGTCCATAGCTCCCCTCTGGAAATGACAGAGCTGCCAATTTTAGTCGTTGGACAACCAGCAATGCTTGTAGGCATCCAAGCAGCTGCTTCCTGACCCTTATCAACACCCCACACACCAAACAGAAACGAGGGGGGCCTGTTGCAGAAGGCCAGAGGAAAGAGGAAACCAAGCCCTGAGAGGTGGCAGAGAGCAGAGAGGAACCAGGGGTAACGGTCCTGGAGAAAAGAGAACTTTGGCACATTTTCCAGCTGGAGCAGGAAACTGCTCTCCAACCCCCTTGCAACATCTTCTGAAGCTGCAATAACAAAGTGAGAACGGCCAGGGATGTGGAAAGGGAGGAAGGAAGAACCCTCTGGCTCCTCTCAAGCTTCAGCCTTTGGGGCATTAACTTTTTGCCCCCAGCAAAAAGCTGCCAGCACCTTTTATCTCCCTCCTTTAACAAATTACAGGACCCCAGCATGGTAGGGGTGGGAAGGGACCTCTGGAGATCATCTCCAACCCTCCTACTCCAGCAGGGTCACCCAGAGCAGGATGCTCAGGATCCTGTCCAGGCAGTTTTTCAAAGTATCCAGAGAAGGAGACACCACAACAAGTTACTTTAATCTACCAAAATTTAACTTTGGAGCTCCTTTTGGACCACACTGACCATTCAGGTTCTTGCATAGAGCTTGTCACCACCAGCTCTGTGCAAACCAAGGAGCTTAGGGCTGCTTCTTTAGCTTCCACAGAGAAGGAAATGGGGTGCACAAGCTGGCTGGGAAGCCACCATGAGGGAGAAAAATGCCTACAGCAAACCCTGAGGCTCAAGAGGATGTTTCCAAACTGGCCAAACCTTTCACCTTCAGCCACAGCCCCAGAAAACACTTGCCCATGCTGTTGGTTGTCACCAGAGTGACCCCTTGGCAAGCCTTCAGGTGCTCCAGAGTCTTGTTGAGGCTTGCAAGGAAGAAGGTGGAAATCTGGGGGAAAGCAACTGTTTGTACAAGAGTTTTGGGGCTCAATGCAGAGAAAGGGATGCTGTAGGAACTGGCAAGAGCCACCTTTACATTAGTCATGAGTTACAGGGCTCCCTTTGACCACAGCTCTGCTAAAGCCTCCCAGAAAGGGAGAAATGGAGAATATTCTGTGGCTTAGAAAAGGCCCACGGTGGTGGACTCAACGTGAAGTAGTGCAGGAGCTCAGTTACACAATTCTATTTCCATTTTTAGACTTTCCATCCCACTTCAGAACTCAGTTTCCCAGCCAGCCCCCCCAAAACCATCTCCTGCTACAAACCCATTCCAACTCATCGCCACGACCAGTCGCTCACCAGTTCTGAGGAGGGAATGGGAAGAGCAGCTCTGCTAAGACTTCACCATTGCATGACTACCCACCCAGCAGGGTGGGGAACTTGCTTTCCTCATTTTCCTCACACAGCAGCTTTTAGCCACACACAGGTTGTCATCTGAAGGTGCTTCATGTGGCAGGAGGGACAGAAGCAGCTCTTAAACACAGGCACTGGGAAGCTCCGAGCACAGCTTGGTGAATTTTTGAGGAATATATCATCTGTTTTTTAGAACACTTCTATTTTTCTATTGTTTTCTTCCATACAGTCAGTATCTCATTAAAAATACGACTTGTTTCCTGCTGCTTTCTGCCTCCAAACAGATCCCCAGCAAGATTTTGCTTTCAGCATCGACCGTTGCTCCGACGTTGCATCCCACACCTTTAACATCAGAGCTGCCATGGTCCTGAGTAAGTCAACTGCTATTTTCTGGTGCCACAAGCAGGGAATTCATGTGAGAGTGCTGGTATTAAGAGATAATCCAGGGTGACAACCTTCCATACAAGATAAACCACCCCCCTGCTCCAGCAGCTCACCCACAGCAGGGTGCCCAGGGTGGCATCCAGGGGGGTTTGGGGTTTCTCCAGAGCAGGAGACTCCACAGCCTCTCTGGGCAGCTGCTCCAGGCTCTGCCACCCTCCCAGCAGTTTTTCCTCCTATTTAGATGCAACGCTGAGCCCTGGCACAGGTTTGGCTTGGCACAGGGACCATTTTACCAGGCAGCAGGTACATGCCCCAGGTTGGCTGCTTGGTGGCCATTGGATACGGTCCCTCTGCTAGGGGCAGTAGGAAGTAAAATTTAGATGTATGGACATAAGATTTGCTGTGCCAGTTAGCCTCAGAGTCAGAGAATGGTCATTTTTTTTTAATAATAAAGGTATATGGTATTATATCCCCTTTTATATACCTTAAGGGACTTAGAGACCTGTTCCTGACGCACGGATTTCTACAGATCAAGAGTCCTCAGTGAAAACATTCAATGGCTTAAACAGCAGGGAAGGGGGGGAAAAAAAAAAATAGAATCTTTAAAAAATTAAAGTAATCAAGCTGTTTAGCCTTGCACTTTCTCTGAGCTCTCCTTCTGCTCTGTGTGTAGGACACAACATCAAGGAGCTGTACGCCAAGATTGACCTGCTCATAAATGGGAAGACTGTCTTAACCTACTCCGAGACACTTTGTGCACCAGGTCACATCAAGCTGATTTTCTGTGGCAAGAAGAAAGGAGGTAATTTAGGTAGCCCTCTAAATGTTGGATGGCTCCTGAATGCTTCCAGCAGGATGCACCCCCTCTGCTGCTGAAGGCACCAGAACGTTGCAATGCTCTGTTTGCTCCAGCAGCAGGTTAAAGGGTGACAAAAACACAGCAGGACAAAGATATTTTCCTCTCAGAGCTTTCCCCTCTAACCTGTTTGCTGGTTTTTCCTTTAATCACACAATATTAGGTGTGCATGGGGTTTCAAGTCCATGAAGAAGCCAAACTGTGCTAACAGGACCCCATCCAACAGCAGAGAGGCTCATAAACCCTCTTTCTAACCACAGGGTTGTCATGTGAGCAAGAAGCATCACAAAAATAATGGCCAGTTCTGTAAAAGAAATGGCTGAGCCAACAAACAAGTTGTTCTGAACGTGTTCTTCACTTCAAGTAACACTTCCTGTCCTTAAAGGCCATTCTTAACTCACTTATGCTCAAATGAGGATATTTGGGCCAAGATATTATTTGATATCATCTATGGTTTGCATCTTGTTGCTGCTCAGGACTTGCACTAGCTGGTTTAACAGCAGCAGGTCCCCCAAAAAGCAGGTCCAGCTTTGCTCCCACAGGAGCCTGGGCACCTCAAGGTCCCTTCTGCCATGAGCCAAGCCAAGTAGTGCAAAATTAGTCATGGTACAGCTGGAAGAGCTGGACTGTAACATCCACATTATCTCAGACTGTTATTTTGAAGTGCCTCTTAGAGCATGATTATCTCTTTAGGTTGATTTTAAACTCGACAGGTAGAGCTGCAGGGAAGTTTCAGAGCTGTTGGGGCAGCAGTTCTGCTTCCCTTCCATTCACTTGTCTCCACCCTCTGCTGCAATAACTCGTGTGCAATGGCTGTGAGTTTAAAGAGAGAGTTTAAGAGAGCCCCTGGAAAATGACTAAGTCATTCCCCACAGCACAGAAATATCACAAAGAATAAGAGAGAAATGCTACATGAGCAACCAATTATGTAAATTCTGTAAACCAGATAAAGGGGGGAAAAAAAAAGAATTAAATTCAGAGGTTTCTTCAGTTGTGTATTGAATTACAAAGGGGGAAAAGCCACCCACAGACCTCCTGAGAAACTCTTATTCTGATGAAGCACTAAATAACAGTCTTTAGAGAATACATTAAGGAGAAGTAGTCAGCCCTGAGCTGAGCACAAACTGCTATTCAAACATTAAAGCCACAAAGCCAAAACCTCCTGGGGTTTCCAAGTCCCTTAATCTTAAACTGGCAGGTGATTCTTTCTACTAATTGAAGTACATGAGGATATAAAACTATAGCTGCTTCTTTAAATAATCCTATTTATCTTCATTTAGAAGCATCCCTAAGTTAGTGCGAGGACCTCTGCCACAGTTTTTAATACCCATCCTTTTGTTCAGGAGCTGGTTTTAATTTAGTAATTAAGTCACAGTGGGAAAGAGGTGAACTTCCTCAGACTGAGGTTCAAACTGAAAACGAGGCATTTCTTAATTAGCTGACATTTGATTCTAACCCCACGTTTTAGGGGCACAGGATTGAGCTGAAGACCAATCTGAGGCAATTCAGATTTGCAGAGCTGCAAATCTGACCTCCTATCTATGCAAAAAGCACAACACTGAATGGCCAAGCAGGCAGCCTAGAAAAGGTCCAGAGGAGCAGATAGTTCTTTGAGCTGAAGCTTTTCATGCAGAACCACTTTTTCCCTGTTTTAAGGGCAGCATTTCCAACATCTGGCCAGACCCAACCTGAGTTTAGCTATAGTTCCACTCCAAATTTCCTTGCCTTCCACAAATTGCCAGCTCCTCCCACCCCTAAAATGAGACAGAAGGTAGTTTTGCTACAAGTTTTGTGGGTCCAATCACTCCTGGGGATGAGCAGAGCAGAATTTACAAGGAAAAAGAGACTTAAGAGCCAGATGTGGCAACGTGGGGGGTGTTTGGGGTTGTTTTTCCTTTGCTCTCCTACAACGCTGCAGTTTTGCCACGACTGGAAATACTTTAGGAGACTTTATATAGCTGGAGGTTTCACGTTCATCATAATCATATAGTATTTACTCTTTATGTTAAGCCCTTGACATGAGTTTGCCAGGTCACATCTGGCACTTCTAAACAGGATTCCAAGATCATTTTCTTTGAGCTGTATGCCTGTTGGGAAGTTGTTAGCTCAAAGCTTGCAAGGGAAGGGGCCACTGTCCATTTAACAGCCACCCAAAAACCTGCTAAATTCTTTGTGGCAGAACATGAACTCAGCTCTTCCTCTTTTTTATTTTAGTAGAAAGTGCTGGTTATCCCCCATTTCCTCCAAAGAAAACAGTTACATAAGATTTAACAGATTTCCCAATGCAATCACTGAAATCAGAGGGGAGGGGGGGGCAAAAAAAGACCTACCAGGGTAATATTTAGCAACGTGCCAACCACAACTTGCAGGCTGAAAACAGAGCTTCCTGACAAAAAAGTTGCATCCTCTGCAAGCCCATGAGTCAGGCTGAGCTGATAAAGGCACCACCAGGACCCTTCCACGATCCCTTGTGCACCCTCCCAAACCACAGAGAAAACCCCCCTCACTTCAGACCCTCCATTCTTCACATTATTGCCTCTTTTGGTGGGTGTTGCAGCCAGCAGGATTCTAAAATAGTATTTTCTAGTAAAAATAGAGACTATAATGTGAATTATAGAGCTGGGTATCACAGAGTTTAGGTACAAGTTCCTGAGGAAGCAGCTACACCACAAAATGAAGTCTTTGGTCTTGCTTAGCCCCTTCATCCCACTTTTTCCTCCCCTGTAAAAAGTGTGGATGTTTCCTACTCACCCTATGTATTTATATACATTTTTTTTCTCACTCAGCTATGCATCTATAGCTGGGACTTATTCAGATCATTCCTCCAGCCCTAAAAACCTCACTGAAGTTGCATGGGTGCAAGATCACATCCTAGAACAACTCCAACACGGAGCATTTCACTTGTAGAAGGATTTAGAACGTGGAGAAAGGAAGAGGTGGGTGCAGATGTACAGGGCCTTAATATAGCACCAGAGTGTGAGAAGGTATAAAGATTCGTGGTGCAAGGAAGATTTGGGAAAGAGGAGTGAGAATTTCGCTAGAGGCGTTTTGCCTCTTCGTGGTGTAACTCGAAGTCATCCTCAAGAAGTTCTTTAGATGTTTGGAAGCTCTGCTTCACTCTGGAAGCTGCCAGAAGCCTGCTCGACTGGCAAGGAAAACCCCTCAAGCTGCTTTTGGTAGAAACAACAGTGAAAAGCTGCTTACAACAAGTACAACATCACCTTGGCTCAGTGAGACATCAGGAATGTTTTCTGGGATGCTCTCAAGAAACCACCTTCAGCTCATTCTAAGGAAAAGGGTTGAAAACAGAAGGTGGACTGAAAGCACATCCCTGAGGACAGCACAGTTGGTAGATACCACAACATCAGACCAATAAAGCCACACAGGGCAGCTTTTCACTGGAATAACACACTCCTGATTCACCCTGTTCCAAATCTTCATATATTTTTGGCAATTCCAGCTGGGCTTGCTCTACAAAGGCCTCAGAATTCTCCCCATGAGAATCCTTCTCAGTGTTTGTGACAGTTACACTTGCTGCAGCAGATGTGTTCATCCTCTTTCAATGGAGGAAGGCAAAACTGTGTGAATTTATGGAGAGCAGTGTCTATGAAGGATGCTGTGATAAACTACAGCCCTTAAAGCCTTGGAGGATGTTTGTACTTCTGGAGTTACAGCAGAAACCTTCAGGTGAGAGGAATGGGCTTTGAAAAGCCTGACCCAGCAGAGGCACTGAGGAGGTTCCCAGGGTCCAAAGTGAACCTGAATGATAAAACTCAGCAGATCTGTGGCTCCACATTATTTCCTGGCAGGTCTCAACTGGCTGAAGGAAAAAGCTGCCCTTACTTTCCTATCTGGACATACTTTCATACTTCTCCCCACCATTGAAGCAAAAAAAGGTCACAGGATTTCTCTAGAGTCCTGGTTGCAGGATCACAGAATGGTTGAAGTTGGAAAGGACCTTTGAAGATCATTTAGTCCAATTCCCATCTACTCAAGCAGGACCACCTACAACTGGTTGCCCAGGACCATGTCCAGACAGGGGTTTGGAATGTATCTAAGGATGGAGACTCCACAACTTCTACCAGTGCTCTGTCACCCTCAGAGTGAAAAAAATCCCACCACCACTAAAAAAAAATGAATAGCCCAAACTCCCTCAGCCTCTCCTCAACTGGGGAGATGTTCTAGTCCCCTAAACATCTCAGCAGCCTTTCACTGGACTGTCTCCAGTATCTCCATGAGATTAGTGATTGAACCACTGCAAGACCCTTTGTTGAAAGACCTAAATAGAGGCAATGCTGAAGCATAAAGTAGAAAACATGGACTTCAAATGAGACATAGCTCCACAGTTGGAAGCTCTCCAAAGATAGTCCAGCCCATGAGAGTGACTCCATTGATTACTGAGTGACCACACCTCCAAACACTCATGGCAAACTTCTCAGAGGAGGCTGAAGCAGAGCCCTAAGACTGCATTCATCTAGCTCGGATGGAATCATCCCTTTGCCACAGCAAAGAGGAGGGGGGGGAAAAAAATAGCTTCTACCTACACTGAAGCAGAGATTAGCATTGCCATCACTTCAGCAGCAAATTTATGGCCTGGTGACTCCTACTTCATTCCAAACTGTAGGCTTTGCAGAGCTTCAATGCTGCATCTGCATCTTGAGATCCTGGGTTTGACAGCCTAGAGGAGACCCTTGCGAGCCACGTGAGGACCTTCCATGTCCCTGTGGAGAAGGTCAAGTGGCTTTAGGTCCTGTGTAGACTCTTGCAGAGCTGTGAGCTGAGAAGTGGGCTGCACTGTATTTTTAAACCCCTTGAGTCACTGCTCTCCACAGCAGAGAGGTGTCAGACTCCAGGGCTCTTGCCTCGTGCACAAGTGGTGGCTGCTCTTGGAGAAGGAAAGACCTCTTGGTGGCCAGGTGAAGCAGCCAGGGATGCAGAGGGAAACAAGTACATAGCTGACCAGCCTGAGAGGGACAAGCCCAAACAGGCTCTTAAGTCTGTTTTCTTTGCCTGTTAGATTTTTCAGGGCAACACTGAGAAGTTCTGAAGCTTCTCCACCTCCCAGGGCTCACCAGGGCATCATGTTTAACAAACCCCTCATGAATGCAAAGGTGTGGAGCTGTGGTGCTGCCCAGGTTTCTTCTATTTTTTTCCCCTAGTTTACCTTCTATTGACTTTTTTTTTCATACAAGTTTGTTACAAGGCATTGACTAACACTCCATAGCACATGCTGGGAAGACCTGTTGACCTTTTCCCAGCCAGATCCCTCCAGCATGGTGGGATGGACTATAAGACATAAAACCTTTTGCCCAGCCTTTCAGAAGCAGCAATTTAAACCAGCACAGGGAGACTGGACTAAAACAACTCTCTAGAAGTGACAGGCACCAAGATGCCAGCACATAGATAAATAGGATGAAACACTTACCCCTCTGTCACTGTCAGAGAATATTTCATGACACCTACAAATGAGAATCCTTAAACAGCTCTTAGGCTTTTCCATGGCTTTGTGGAGGGCAAGCTGTGTGAGAAATCCTGAAGTACTGCAGCATCCACACATTTTCTTTTCAGCCAAGTCTGCATAGTTTGGGTCAGTAAGCTATGGCAAAGGAGGAGGCACTGCAGGACAGTTTGATTCTGGCCATCAATGCCATTGAAATGTTGAAGGACTGTGTATAGAGCACTTTATGGTTCCATAACTCTTGTCACTTTGAAGTTCTATTACCCAAAAAAACCCAACATCTACAACCAGCTGCTTGTTTCCATCATGTCCTGCAGCTCTAATCACCCATCACCTTTTTGCTTTTCAGAACACCTCTACTATGAGGGACCAGTCACATTGGGAATCAAAGAAATCCCCCAGGTAAGTTGGCCACAACTGTGCTGCAAAGGGGTCTCTGGATGGGGTCAGAGGACCACCAGCAATCCCATCAGCACATTCCCAGCTCCCACACAGGATCTGATAGTGTTTACATGACTATTTCTTCTCAATATGACATTTATTTAAAGGATTAGAGACACATAACAGCCACCACCTCATACATCTCAACCTCCTCTTGGTGACAGCAACCACAAGCTTTGTTTTCCAAGGCCTTCATGCAGGATGTTATCCCACCCTCACCAGCTTATTTCCTTAGAGATGGCATGTAGAGCAAAACTGATATCTTCCCACCAGACCTCCTAATCTCTTCCCACCAGACTGCCCAAGCTCCTATTGATCAGCATCCTGCTCCAGGAGCAGCTTCACTAACACATGAGGACACTTCTGTAGGAAAGGCTGTAGGCAAACTGAAGAATAAATCTTTAGACCAAGAGAAAAACACCATAAACAACCACACAGACCAGTAAAACTTCAGTTCTGGGCAAATGAGCTTAAATGGGAGAAATTCTAAGACTGCCCAGGATCATCTTTTAATAACAATTTTTGCTCATGAGCAAAAAATTATCCTGGAAGGAAAAAAAAAATCTAATCATTAATGAGCAATGGAAATGAATTATTATAAACTCCCTTCCATGGATGAAACTATAAGTTTTAGGAGAATTCACATGCTTGGGAGCAAGGGAATGAGAAGTCTTCTTGGTAATTAATCAATCAGGGAAATACTGCCAGCAATAAGGAGTTATTCCATGCAGCAATTGTCTTCTGCTCATTTCAAAGACACTTATCTCTGGATGAGAACATGAACAGAGATTCAAATCTCTCTGTGAGGACACAGGCCAGTTATTCCTTTAAAAATCCCATGGTAAAAAGCAAATGCCAAGAAACCTGACTTATTCTAGCTGTGCCTCCTTCTACTCCACAACCAGGAGAGTGCTGAGCATGGGAAGAGCTTTCTGTGGTTCAAAGTCAGGAGGCCACTGCTGCCAAGCTCTCCTACCCCAAGTTTTGCTCCCCTCCAAACTCCAGAAAAAGAAAATAGAGAGAAAAAACTGCAGTGCTAGCAATCTAGAGTGAACAAAATCTGGTTCACCTCTTCCTCCCAACCTGTTGGATGAGTCTTGTCACCTTTACCCAGTGCTGCTTCTCCTCCAAGAGTCTGAACAGAGCAGTTTTGGCCAATATAAATCCAGACATGGCTTCTTTAAGGGTGAAATTGGGGTTATTTTTTTTCCACTGCAGTGATACAAGTTCTCCCCAAAGCCTGAATTATTAGTTTTAACTCTGTAATTTTAAATGAAACTATTTCTGGCTGTATTAGGTAGGAATTCATCACAGATTGAGTTATCTACACACACATCTGGTTAGGAGAAGGGAGCTCAGTCCTGTCAGCGCGGGCTGAGATCATCTCTTAGTGGGGATACAGATGATATTTCAGATTAACACATGGAAGAGGAGCATCTCCTCACATGATAAAGCCCTAGGAAAGTGATGCTGATAAAAATCAAGATTTTATTGAAATTCATCTCAAGAACAGCGTACACACCGAGCAACGAGATCCAAGGAAGAGAAGTGCCAGACAACTGAGCACCTCTTCCCCTTCCAGCCACTAAGCAGCACAGGCCACGTGCTGCTTGCTCAGAAGAAACAGGAGAAGTCACCCAGATTCAAAAGGAATTTTTAGGCCTCCAAACATTTTGTTCCCTTTGCAGTGTTTTAATTTTAAACTGGTGCTGTCAGCAGCGATGTCCCCGACGAGCGTGTTTTGGCAGCAGAGATGGGCAAGCCTGAAACATTTGGACAGGAAAGGGTTTTGGAGGAGCTTGGGGGGGGAAAAAAACAAGTGTCATGCTGCTTCTAAGAAAAGGGCTAACCCCTTGGTTTGTGTCCCACACAGGGGGATTACACCATCTCAGCCAAGCTGACCAACGAAGACCACGTCACCGTTGCCTGTGCTGATTTCACTGTGAGAAATGATTTGGATTATTATTAACAACAAACCCAGCTCAAAGCTCCTCCTCACGCCAAGCTGCTCACACACTGCAATGATTCTGAAAGGAATAAGCCCCATTTGATGGTTTTGATGCTGTTCCTCTTCCTAATTCTGGTTTCAAGAAGCCACTAGACCCTCTAGTGGTAATTTTCTCTCTACATGCACACACTGCAGCCCACTTTTTGCTTAGCAAGTAGAAAGCCTCTGATACCAACATTCTCCTTTTAGGATGAAGCTAGCACGAGGCAGAACAGGCAAAAACCTAAATAGCTTTTTGCACTAACTTATGGAGAGATCCATTTCTAACACAGACTAAGACTTTAATATCTATCACATATTATGCAGCTACAGCACTCAACATTTTCACTCTTCCTGGGGCCTGTCTGGAGCCTCCAACTAGTACAGATTTTGTTATAACCACAGATCAGAGACCCAAAGGGATGAAGATGCTTTTTTCCCCCCACTGATACACATCCTGTCGTTGGATTCCTATCACTCCAGTCTTCCCTGGAATTCTGTTAGGTCTTTAATGCCTTTTAAGTGGTGTGTGAATCACTCTGTACCTAAGCTACGTGCTCGTGTTGCTTCTCAATAAATTCATGATGAAAGAATATTGTTTTCTCATTTTTCCTCAGGATTCCAGTGAGCTATCCAAAAAATTCTGAGGGGGAAAAGAAAATGGAAAAAGATGGAGGGAAACAAGTGAAACGAGCACTTTTTAAACACAAACCAGTCACACTGACATATGTTAGCAGAGGACAAACTGTTCCTTGCTTTGAGCATGAAGCCTCAGGAGAAGTAAACACAAATTATACTCCCAGGTGCAGCACATCCCCAAAACCTCTCATTCCAGGCATAACTGATGGGGAGGGAGATAACCAAGCACAAGGCAGCACATGGGATTAGGATCTTGGGTTGGGGAGCGTGGAGACCTTCTTTGGAGACTCAAAGTGTAGGGGAAGGATCAGGAGTAGAGCTGAGTTCTGGTTTGGAAAGGTGTGGGCAGGACTCGGAGCCACAGGAGGGTCCCAGAGCTGAGCACAGGCTCAGGAAGGGTGGTAGCTCTTGGAGAGGTTCAGCATGTCCAGCTAGGACTCACAGGAGCTCTGACACATGGCCTCCATCCCACACGCTGCAGCTCAGACAGATTCCTGAGCAGCAAGAGCATCCCTGCTGCTCAGATGACCACCAGCAAGGTTCTCCTGCTTCTTTCCCATGCACTGAAGTCCTCACCGGCCATCCCAGCAAAGGGCAGCAAGTTTTGGAGGTTCAACCTGCATTAAGGAGGTCTACCACCATCAAACATGAACCAGCAAGTGCCACAAAATGGGATAGAGCCAAAAAAAAAGGATGAAGGGCGTTCATCACAGCTTGGCCACCACTCCCTAGATGAAGACTCAACTCTAAAGTGCTGCGTTGCTGCATTTTAGGTCTTCATGACCCAAGGGAACCAGAATATGGACACAGCTCAGTTTTCTCTCATGGGACAGACATCTTTAGACCCATCTCTCTCCCCGTGGTTCCCCTAAGATGTAAGAGGAGCCATGCCTTGAGGAGAAGCTGACAAAACCCCATTCAGCAGCAGCACTGGCACAAGAGGCCACTTGCTCAGCCCCATTCCACTGCAACCACACCACAAAAGCATGACCAAAACCCAAATTCCTGCCACCGAGCTTCTTGGTCTGTTATCTGATGAAAGACTCATCAGATGGAAAAACAAACTAGTTCAAGCACTTCTGCTTGAAATGAGTCCCAGAATGGCCAAGATCCTCTTAGCCCAAATCACCAGGCTCCTTATACCTCAGGGCATGGCTGGAGAGGTCCCCAGGCCCACCCCAGCAAACAAGTCAACCTTTGCCTCCACATAGTGAGGGTGCTCCTCTAAAATACCTGCAGCAGAAGGTCTCAGCTGCCCAAAAAGTGGGTATCTAAAGACTTCTACCCCTTAGAAACACCTCAGCTTCTTCCTGGAATACCTGTTTCCAACTGATGCACGGTCAAGCAACAAAACCAGGGCTCATCTTCATTGATCTCAGCACAGCTAATGAATCTCTTGCTGTCCCAGAGGGTCTGTGGTGTGTTCACACCAGAATCCAAGTATATTTGGCAGTTGTCTTTCTGAAACAGCCTCAAAAACCTTTTTAAGGGCACTGCAGCAGCATCCAGGCTCTGAACACAGCTCAGCTGCACCAGGACCAGAGCAAGAGCCTCCAGAGATCTGCACCCTGAGCAAGGAGACAGCTGGAAAGGTGCAGATCCTGGTGTTGGCAAAGCCCAGCTGGTGCTCTGCAGCAGGAGAAAGGGAAGCAAAGGGAACAGGGTGTTAAAAACAACAACAAAAAAAATCAACTTTTAGTCCCAGAGGACACTGGGGAGGGTTGAGGGGGAAGATCCTAGGACAGGCAAGACTTTATGGACTTGAAAAAAGAAAAATACAGAAGGAAAAAAAAATATGGTGAGAAAAACCATGGAAAGAAAGTCCAAAAAAAAACCCTGACTTGGGTCTCTTCACAGATGAAGTGAGATGCAAGATGCTGGCACTGAAAGATCCTCCTCATGAGGACTCCAGCAGTTCTCTTCCCTCTGCCTCTCTCCACCACACTACTGGGCTCCTCACAGCTTAGCTCCTCCAGAAAAGCTCTTGAAATATTTCCCCAGCAAGCGAGACTGGGCTGGCACAGCACATTTTGGACAAGCCCTCCCCACCAGAGACCAGCCACAGAGCCTGAAAGCATCAGAGAGGAGCAGGTTGGTGCAGCCAGGACTCATTGCCAAGAGGGATTCGAGCATCTCTAGTGGGGAGAAGAGGAGGGAAGACCCTGAACAACACAACCAGAGAGAGAAGAAGCTCCTGAAGATCCCAGGGTGACTTCTGCCAGCAGAGATCTTGTGGGTGAGGGTTGCAGAGCTCCTCAGAGTGCCAGGCAGGAGCCTGTAACGTGTTCCCTGTTGACCCTGAGATAGTGGCTGCACTATTGACTTATACAAGGAGCCTTGGGTTGTTTTCCCTCAACCAGGCAGTGGCTGGGGGGCTAAAAAAAGCCACTCTTGTCTCCCAGTGCAGTCAGGCAGCCTCACACACACTTCCCTTCTCCCAGCCAGTGCTTTCCTTCCTCCCCCAGCTGCAGAGGAGATGCTGATGCCCTCGGTGCAAGAGCCAGGCAGGACTCAAAAGGTTCAAACTCCAACCCCTTTGATCAGGAGAGTGGCTCCACCAGAGCCAAAATAAACGTTTGCTGATAATCCCCTGCCCTCTGTTTGCTCGTGTGGCTCCCGTGCTGTTGGTTTTCCTATGGTGAGTTTTCCAGCTGGGGTTAGCAGGGGGATAAAATGCACAGGTTATTCTTCACCCTGGCTGGTTTGCTTCTCCACAGTTTAATGCAGCTTTACCTTGGGGAAAAAACCACCAATACCTTGATCCAGGCTGTTCTCCTGCCCCTTGCAAAGCTTCACCTCCTTCTACCACCTGAGAGTTCACAAAACAGCAGCAGCAGCTCCAGGGTGGGAGGAGAACGACTCAGAACCAGGTTTCCCTACTGAATCCTTGAGATGCTCTTTACTAGAGCTTCCAAATCAAAATCCCTCCTCCACCTTTGCACCACTGAGCTGACAGATTCCCCCCCTCTCCCCACCCAGCAGGGCTCTGCCTGGGCTCCCACAGGACCCCTCAGGTGCTGAACCAACTCCAGGATCACCAGAAAATTATTGGCATCCTACGATTGGATTTCTCACCTTCCCCCCACACCATCAAAGCAGCAACTTCAGTGCCCACACAATGGGGTTTAAAAAAACCACAATGCCATAACTTTCATCTGTCCTTTCTGCTTGATTTAGTCCAGCTATGCCCCAGTTATTTCCACCCTGAAAGCCAAGAGAGAAGCCAACAGAAGGACGAGTTTGTTTCACTCTCATTTTTTTTTCAAGCTCAAACTGCTCAGGATGGAAACTACACTAACCTGCAGCACTTCACTGGAAACACCTTTGTTGTCTCTAGATAAAAATCAAAGCTGAACCCATTTATTAACTGGGGCACAGCAGAAGCTGAAGGAGCTCTCAGCAGCTTTCCAGTCCCAACGTGGGGTTCCTGTTGCTTTGCAGCAGGCTGAGAAATCACTGCTCAGTCTTTCCTGTTCCATTTTAGGAAGGGAAAAAAAAAAAAAGAGTTTTGCCCCAGAACTTGTATTTCTTACTCACAGCTTGGTTTGTTCCCCAAGAAACACAAAAAATCACATGGAACTCCCAGAAAATAAGAGCAATGTGGACACAAAGTCCAAGTGCAGCCAAGGTAAGAATCTCAGACTGAAGATATTCTTTGGTATCTCAGGATTTAACCACACCAGAGTGTCCTGTGGCAAATAAAATAATCCTAGGCCACCTATGATGGTGATTTAGGGAAATTTTTCCACTTTGGCTTGCTTGAGGTCATTTCTCTGTGCAGACCTTCACACAACTGATGTCACCATCAGGATTGAGAGGTGTTTGCTCTGCAGATTTTCTGGGCTTTTCCTTCCACCTAGGATAAAGCCCCAAACAGGTGAGAAAGAGCTAAGAGAAAAATATTAAAGCTTGAAGATCTGCTCAGGGTCAGGGGATGCAGCCAGACCGGGCTCTGCTCCCAAGGAACGAGGGACAGGACAAGAGGAAACAGCCTCAAGCTGCACCAGGGGAGGTTGAGGTGGGACAAGGAAAAACTTCTGCTCTGAATGGGTTGCCCAGGGCTGTGCCAGGCTGCCCAGGGCAGTGGTGGAGTCCCCACCCTTGGAGGGGTTTCCAAGCTGTGGAGATGTGGTGTGAGGGACACGGGGCAGTGGGGACCTGGCAGGGCTGGGGAAGGGTTGGATTTGATGATCTTGAAGATCTCTTCCAACCCAAACAACTCTCTGGTTCTATCAGGGCTTCTTTTCATCCCAAGGAGATGAAGAACATCCAAACAAAGATCTGTGGTGTCTGCCCGTGGTGGAGCAAGCCCACTTTGCCCACCCAAGGCATCAGCTGCAGGA